TAAACATGCGTGGTGGCTGCTTGGTGATCTTGACACAGAACGCCCCTGGGGTCACAGATTCCTCCTGGAAGCAGTCAACAGGGATATGGGCTTCCTCGTCAAAGTGCTCATAAGCACCACACAGATCCTCTCCTTCTGGGTCATCATCGGTTGAGCACTGATAGCATTTTATTGCCCCGGCTGCAAAGATGGATTTCTGGCATCAGTATATTCTGTATGGCAATGGTTCTTAACCACATCCTGACAAGGAAAATGCTGTGATAATTCTTTATTTTTTTGTGAAATGACTCTGCACATAGATGGCTCGTTATTGGCCCATTGGTGACTTAGTACAAGTGTAGCCATCTCTGTCTAAATGCAATTAATAAAACAAACTCACAGTAAACATGGCATGTACATACATGCCATGCCCATCACATTTGAGTTTATAATATATTAATAATAGTTAATGATTTTATTATTGTAAGAGGGCCAGACCTCCAAGCTACACCCAGGAGAGTTATCACTCAAGTAAGCCTAATGCCTGGATTTTGGCCCACTTACAGGCAACAAGGCACCCGGCTGCAATGGGTTAATCATACCTGCAGTATCTCAGTCCAATAACAGTTTATAGCCGGTCTAGCATGCAGAGTTTGCATGTAATAGCTGGATGCTTCGGTGGGAATTTTGGTGGGAAAACCGCACTAAGAGCTCATTTACCTTTATGCACACTACTATCAAAAAAATAAAGCATGAGTTTATTTGTGCATAAATGGCATAAAAGTTTTAAATTTCAACCAATTAATCAAAATTTCTGTTCAATCTTGTACAAGGTATGAGTATCAAATGGCCTTGAAAAGTTGAATTTTATTTGGTAATAATATTCAAATTCTATCTCTGTGAATTATCAATCCCTTCCCTGGCAAATGATTACCAAACAAAGACTCAGTCCAAGCTCCACCTTGCTAGAGTATAAGTGGTGACCCTTGTAGGCATCAGCTGGACTTTTGGAGGAGATGCCATGGTTGTTTGACACTGCCACTATCCAAGCATGCTATTCATAACATGTTTCTTTCTTTGTAATATGGGATAGAAACATCCATCAAAACCAAAACACATCAAACAAAAACAATTCAGCAAGTAGTCATATAACCGAAGGTTGTAATTGCATCCTTTTATAAGTCGAACAGTAAAAGAACATTTGAAATTACTTTAATTGAAATGTCCACTTGCAGAAGTTTATATGTACTAGAAAAAACAGGAAAAGATGTTTAAGCATCTACACAATCTAGCAAGATTTCTTTTTCCATTCAGAGCTGCAGTTCAATAATAAATAAATATGCCTACAAGGTTGCACACAGTTTCAGTTTCACACAGTCACAAAGTACATGGTAAACCTTGACTATCATGGACAGAATGAACAAATAATGAGACCTTTTTCATCTATGGTAGAAGGGGATAAACCTCACTCACTGATACATGAAACAATCTGCACAGGTATAGAATAAGGTCAGCAATGAAGATAATATTTGCCGTGAAATGACGAAAATAGGTGCTGCATATCGCCACTCACAGACCGCAGCACCCTTTAACAGTTCTTATGTCGCGTTTTCTCTAATTTGGCATGAGGTGCTAAGAAAGGGGGGTACAGGGGGTTTGTCCCCCTTTCTAGGGAATAAATAAAAGGTAGAAAAGGTTAGGTTTGGAATTTTGGGTTCGCACGTTAGCCTGGTATTTGGACGTCTCTGGAGGGTGCATCTCTCTCATTGACAAAGAAGCCTCTATGTATTTACGGCAAGAGCGAGCATCGAAGAGACTTCTTCAGGCGGTCTTGCATGTCGGTCATACACACTTTATGCTCCTTTTCATATTTTACCCTACAACTTCCCTGGTACTTTTTCTGCCATCCTATGCTATCGGGGCTAAGACTGGCGTTAATGGGGGTTTCTGCGTCATAATTCCGAAGGAAAACTTTCCGTATCTGTCAACTAATCGTACAGTAAAATAAGTGTATGGAGTGTTTACCTTGACGAAACTAAGGAACTTTTCATCTATGGCAAAAAGTGCGGAAATCGATAATAACGGAGATACGCGGTGAGATAGAGCACGTAATAAAAACACAATATTTAAAAAATCTCCGACTGACATGAGCGCGCAATTCTTAAATCACTACGTAGGCATTGTGGGATACGAAAGCACGCACGCTACCATGGTGATAAGTTACCAACAACACAGTTGATCGGCCTAAACTCCTTCTTTCGCGATTTATGTTACGCTCCTGACGAAAAAGGTGAGTGAGGCAATATTTTTAAAATATATCAAGAGTAAAAGAATAAAAGAATCGACTTTCAACTTATAGGACGCTCTGTCTTTTTTAACCTCAGACTTTAATTAGTTTCTTTTCCACTAAAAACACGTAGAAATGAGTTGACATATTTTCCAAATGGTAATTTTAAACTCATTTATGAAAAACAATTTCAATTTTGATATGTCGTTTGGGGTAAAACGAGTCGGAAAATATTCTGAGTATCTTAGGCTTATCATCATTTTTATCTACGAAACAACGCGGAATTGATAGGAAGCATTTTTTTCTGAGTCTCTTCAAACATAAATTAAGTTTCCTAACACTACCACAAGAATTGAACATTGTGTCTATTTTTTTCTAGTTGTGTATCTGTTACCAAAAGTCATGAGTAATTACGTTCGAAAAACCAACCGTGCAAACTGGCATGAAGATCATACGAAGCAGGCAATTGAGGCCGTTAAAAAAAGGAAATGTCCCTCAGAAAGGCAGCTAAAGTTTTTTGTGTGCCAATCTATTTCTGTACTTACAGATGTTTCAAACTGACTCGTTTTACCCCAGATGGCGGGGCAAAATGGGTCATTATGCCATATTATTAAAACAGATCATAAAATTAAAATTGTTGATTATTTCATCAAAATCATGATTATATGTGATAAATAAATAGTCGCTATCGTTATTTTAAGTGAAAAACTGCTAAGTTATTCATTTTTGGAAAACTTATGTGCATGTTTTGCCCTACGTAATAAGCGCGCGGAATTTTCAAATAACTTTTATGTTTTATGCATGCTATTACAAACACCATACTTGATTTTTAAATTTTAAGTGTATATGTATTATTTTGTATTATTTGTACTTTTTTAAGGTATAATAAATTTTAAAAAAATAACGTGGTTTAAATATGTGCTACGTATAATGCATTGCCTCTATATTGTGCGAATAAGGTTCAAATTATCCGCACAACAGCGATTTAATTGTTTATACTTTGGTAAGTATATATCATACATATGTATGTATATATATATATATATATATATATATATATATATATATATATATATATATATGTGTGTGTGTGTGTGTGTGTGTGTGTGTGTGTATGTGTTTGTGTATTTTTGCATGCATATATGTGCATGTGAAAGTAAATGTATACATGCATAAATACATGAAAGTGAGAGAGGGATACAATAGCATTATATAATAATGTCCTGTAAATACAAGTATAACAACACCAAACAATAAATGTCACCGATCCTCACTCTGAAATAATGTTGTTTTTATCCGTCGGTTCGTGCGTGGGATGATTTAATTTATTCGTGTACGTAACGATGTTTTTGGTTCAATGATTTCGACAAAGATGAACATGACAAAGTGTATATTTGTATGTTAAAGCGTCTTTCACAAATTTATTTCTTAACATTATTTACAGTGTTGTAATTATCGTGATGGACGTTACATGACCTCATTTACAGTATGCTTATACATGTGTATGATAAAAAAAATAAAACAAATAATACAATATTTATAAATAAACATTGCAACATCATAATAGGATTACAAATTGTCATTTTCACTGCAACCATTATTGTTATGCATGGCATGTTAACACTTAATATTACATTAAAATTACTCTGTATAATATAAGAAAAATAAATAAGATCCTTATTTTCTGTAAGAAACAATTTTTTCTTCTAATATACAAGTAAGACTATAGATTCAAAACGTGTATGCTTATAGTTTTACGATGTCTCGTACATACGTATGGGGCGTCTTGTTTATAAAGAACGCATACCAACATCCAAATGTAAATTATTAATTTAGTAGTTGTATGAATACTTATGTATAAATATATATATATATATATATATATATATATATATATATAAAACATATATATATATATATATATATATATATATAACATATATATATATATATATATATATATATATATATATATATATATATATATATACATATATTGAGAGAGAGAGAGAGAGAGAGAGAGAGAGAGAGAGAGAGAGAGAGAGAGAGAGAGAGAGAGAGAGAGAGTCAATGTACAATAACATGCGTCATAATTAAACATTTATGAATTTAACATTATTATATTCCGATGAGAGTGTGCGAATAACGTTTATACATATATCATCTTGTACATACATAAGTTATAGTTAGATCATTATTACGAACATGATTGTAATAAGTACACTGACATGTATTACAACAATAAACAATGTATGGATTGAAAAAAATATGTATTCGTAGTATTGTTATGCACAAGGGTTTATTATAGTTTCTCAAGTGAACACATATTCATCATGCATATATACATACTAAAAAATATATCTACATATACTTCTTTATATGTTGATAAACACATACATACATGATTATTGTATAAGTATTTATAAAATAAAGCATATATAAAGTCAATTTACCGATACGCTACAACCAATCACAAGTCACTTTAGAAACACCAGCCAATGAAAATGAGTCTTTCATGATGGTTATACATTTCGGAAATGTTCGGAAACATAATCGAAGCATGAGCCGGAATTCGTGGCAAAGGTTCCGAATGCCACGTTCGTTCACTTTCATCATGGCGAGCCAACAGGAAGGTATCCCTGTAGGTGGGTTGTGCGATGGTTGCGATACCGATTATTTCCAAATTAATCATGATTTTTTACATGATGATGGCGGGGCAAAAGCATTTCTCCGTCGCCATGGAGTCTTGCCGACGCCTGTGGAGTGCCCTCACTGCAAACTACCATGCAAACTCCGGGAGGACCGGCCGACTTGGTGTTGCAGTAGGTGGACAAGAGTAAGCAAAACTAAACGCCGGCGGCAGTGCTCTTATAGGTATGATATGTATATTGCTATATGATATATTACTAACCAATAACAAAAAAAGTTCCGAACGGAACTGCACATTAAATATTTTCTAGTGTCGGGGACTATAAGGGCACATTTCTCGATAATGCGAGAATTTCGCCGTGAAAGTTGCTTTTATTCACCAATCACTTCCTGCACCACACGTGGGACCACAGGACAGTGATGGAGTGCCTCAACATTTCATCAGAGGCGGCGGTAGACTGGAGAAGCTTTTGCTCCGGGGTGACGGAATTCTGGCTCGGGAGGCAAGAACCCATCGGCGGGCCAGGGGTGGAAGGCGAGACTGACGAAACCTTGTTGGCGAGGCGGAAGTATCATAGGGAGAAGATGCTTCGTCAGGTATGGGTCTTTGGTGGGATTGAGCGACAGTCTAAGAAGTTGTTTGTGGTTCCCTTGGTAGATCCTGAGGAACAGGACAGAACCGCCGCTACATTAATACCACTCGTCCAGCGGTACGTCCGGGAAGGAAGTATTATTTATAGCGACAGTTGGGGCGCATACAGCACGCTTCAGTATCATGGATATTCTCACTATGTGATAAACCATAGTGAGAATTTTGTTGACCCCGACAACGCCAAGATCCCCACGCAGACCATCGAGCGTTTGTGGAGGGACGTCAAGGCTTGGGTGAAGCGTTCTGGTATACTTTGCCTGATACCTGTTCCTGCACCACCACGCTGCCACGACTTCTTCATTTTGGTAGTTATCAAGCATTTTGTTATAATAGAAATCAATAGTTTACGTATTAAACATGTAAAATATAGTGTATGTTAAATATTGTATATTTTATTTTACCGTATTTTTTTAAATTTTAGGCTGGCCGGCTATATCCGCCGCAGTCGGAGTGTGGTCAGAACCGCCGTACTCCAATAGCCATCGAAGACGATGGTTGGGAGGACTCCGACGACCCAGACGAAGCAAAGCCAGGCCCTTCAGGATACCGCCCACCAGCATGGGACGCCGAGAGCCAGACCGTCACTTCGTAGTCGGTATTGCAACCACGGTCTTGAACAACCGCCATGAAGGTAATGAATTTATTAAATGTTCACAAACGCTGTTATGTGACGGTAGAGGGGAAATGTGCAATTTGACCCGTACATTTAGTTATAATATATTATCAGCAAGTGTGTGTAAGCCATATATGAAAAGTGTTAATCAAGGTAACCGATCCATACACCATTTGGCGCCACGTTGCGATGTCAATAAAAAGTAATTCGTTTGAAATGTTGTAGCGATTAATATTAGAAATTTTCGCCCCATACTGTATGGTTTCGAAGAAGGAAAGTTATAAAACTCGATAGTGTTTGTTAGCGAGTGTTTTCGTAATTATGTTAACCCATTGGCCACGGATTTATGTTCTGTCCCCTGTTGGTTTTGGTGAATTTTGCTACCTACAGATGGCTCCACATGTACTCAGCCGGCAAGGAGTCTATCAGTAGGCCCTAGTTACCGACCCTGATTTTCCCATTCATTGAATTGGCGGGAAAATTAATATCATTGCTTTCGATGCTGTTATTATTGTTACTGATGTTATGATGATTGAATTGTCATTAGAATATTTTTGACAATAAGATGATACAAAAAACCCTTTCCGAAAGTGAAGGAAAAGGCTAAACAGGTGAAATAGGTAGTTCTTGATAACGGGCTATTTGGTTATTAAGAACTTGTGGAGCCATCTAGGTGTAAATACAATAAATAAACGTGTATCAAAGTGGGTATGGCATCTATTCTTGCCATCCGCGGCCAATGGGTTAATACGTTGACAATAAAAAAATCACTTGGTGATTTAAGCATGCAAGTGCATAATGTGGCCGAAAGCATCCGACAATATACATAGTAAGTGCGTAATGTTTGAAAACCATTGTACGATCTGGATTATGTGAAATTCCGTATATTTTAAACGAACTGTGGGTTTGGTTCCCGTAGAGTTGTTTCCGAAAGTTGGCGCGTCGGTTCGTAGATTTTCAAAGATGGCGGCGACGTCGTAGTTTCATTAGCCGATTTTAAGCGTTTTTTGTGCTTGATTTACACATTTCTGCTCTCTATTTTGCCTATTTCAGCCTGTTTTACCCCGTAATTTCCCTGATCTACTCCTTGCCCTCCCCTGCTATCGGGACCTTGGAAGTCACATCAAGAATGCGACGGATATCATTAGATTTGTTCTCATCACACGAGAACAAATCTGATGATATAAATATTGTCTGGGAAGACCCGATTGTCATTTTTAGAAAATTAACCATTTCGAAATATTAGGATCATGGAGAGTGAGAGGAATCCATCGATACCAAAACCGTCGCGATCGTCTCTGCGAAGGTATTGTGCAAAAT